TGCGTTCCAAATCTTATACTTCTTCTTTTGAATTTTTAGTACATACTGCAGCGGCCTTACTATTGCATGCATCCAATTGAGACATACTACTTGTTGCAAAGGATTGTGGGTAAGAATAGCCAGAGAAGCTCATGCGTGCTGCCAAATGTGACCGGATGTAGTCGAACATCCTGGTATTTTTGGCATACTGCATTTGACAGATTATGTTTTGCTCCATACAAAATCTCTTTCTGGCTCACTAATCAGTGGATCATGTGGTCAGTTTTACAAATTGTCGATTAAATCAACTAATCGATAAGCTGACAAATCGGTGTGAGTGTTAGTCGACTAAGAGTCTCTCTAGTCACGGTCAGCCTTCACATTTGGTATTTAAGTAATCACAACAAATGATTAGTTTATTGATCAGTCCAGTCAGCCTCAACGTGTTTATTAACCCTCTTAGAATCCAAATATAGAGAGACACAATAAAATAACATCGTTGAGGCCTGTGGCTCAAACAGCGGTGGACTTCACCACTCAATTATTAGAAGGGTTATTTACACGGTAAGAGGAAGGACTCGTTTGGTTATCAGTAAATATATTGGCACTAGATGATTCTGTGAAAAGCTGCACACGCACACATAAACAGCTGAACAGGAAGTGACAAGTCATACTGTTAAAACCTTGAAACAGTTGCACTTCTGCTTTTTAGACAAACACACAGGACGGTAATGAACCACACGAGACTTCCAAACATTCCTCAACTTAGAACGGCGACTTTTTAGCACTCGTGATGAGAAACATAATTCTTCCATTTGTTCTCTGACATGTTTGACATCACTGCATTACATTGCATCGAAACGTCTGTAGCCAGGCACAACAGAGAACACGCCCACTCTAATTTCCTAGTTGATGTCAAGCGATCATTTCCAAAATATGACCTATACTTTGGAAAGAAACTTGATTTTTAAATAGATAGTGTTTTACTTTGTAGGACTTAACTAAGCAGTTCCAATCCATTTGAGAATCACACATTCATATTTTATGACTATGTTCTAGTAAACATTTTACTAGAGTAAAACTTAATGTGTGTCGTAGAAGAGCAGAAACAAAAAGTATGTTGATTATTCTGCCACCATAATTCTGCAAAACTTCTCCTCATAGCAGTACTGTCTGATTTGCACTTAAGTTGTTGTTGATGAATAATAAATAAATGAAAGGATGATTTTCAGACTCATAGTTTGGACTCGGTGGAGCAGAGAGAGCAGAGGAGCATGATTCCTTTAAGTCTGAAGTTTAGCTCTGCATTATTTCCATGAAAGGTGTTTGAATGGTGAGAACTTAGTCAGTCCATCTCCTTCCTAGAACACACACTGGATGGCCGGGCAGAACTTTGTCAGCATGACTTACGACTTATTGTCATTATCTTTAAATCTTTAAATGGGTTTTTTTTCTCTCGATACAGGCCCATTTCAGGATTGTGACATACAATTGTCTTTACGAAATCAATAAATATTTAATGATTTTCAGAAAGAAAAGTCCCCTTTAAATTAACGTGCTTCTTAGAAACCACGGCAGGGTAAAGTTTCACCTCTTGACTCACATCTAAACTGAGCACACAGGTGTGGGATCAGCACGCTGGTCAATCAAATGAACGAGGAAAAAAAGAAAAGCTTCACTTTCTCTTTTCAGTTTGAGTCACTTCATTTCCTGTTCCACTATATTAGAAAAATCCCATTACGTTGCGTCTGAAAAGCCTCGTTGTGCCTGTTTTCTCTACATCATTATCTTTCGTCCTCGTGGACGACAGAACGCGCCGCTGTGTTTCGCATCGACCTCGCGCCCCGCTGCGTGCAGCCTCCATGCACTTTGTGCACGAGTCAAACAGCAACCTGAGATGGCCTCAACTAGAGTGGGGAACTGAATTTAGCTCATGAGAAGTGCAGATGAATCCCCCCACCCCCTTACTCACCCACCCCACCTTTTGCTACAGGCCATGAAAAATGATTTCAAAGCCCAGATGTGGTGCGCGAGCAAAACTTGTGAGAGATCTGTCGGGCGTAGTGCAGGCTGAAGAAAGTAGAGGCATAAAAAATGAGAATCTAGTCTTTTACTTCCTGAACTTCAAAGGTGCCTCACCTCCTCCGCGTGGCCATCTGAAGGCTCAGCTGTGTTTGACCCTTCTCCTCTACACTGTTCGTCTGGAGCTTCTTTCAGCTTCTCGCCTATGGATACCAGGGTTTTGATTAACATTGCAGACCCTCCGACTCCTCTCTAAAATCACAGCTAAATTATTGTAGGAGCCGAAACCCAAGATGAAAATTTAAGGCGGATGTTGCCTCTGATATTGAAAAAAATTTCTTTCTTTTTTTGGTACTGATCCTCTGCTGAAAACTCCAGAATCTTGCAGGAGTTTTTATTGTATTTTGAAGAAGTCTCCATCACTTATTGTGCACGTGAGCAAGGGAGGGGAGATAAAAGGAGACAACATTGAGACATTTTCGAAATATGAGGTTTGGGTTTTTTTGCGCAACATGAAAATGAGCTCTTTTTTTTTTTTGTCCTATGCATGCGGTAGGATAACACCTCCGCGCCCATTTCACCGAACCTTTTGCCTCTGCGGGTAGTTTTTTACACTTTTGTGCAGAAAAATCGGACAAGTTGGTGTGCACTGAGAACAAAGGCCACTTCAAAACCAAGTACACAAACAATACATACAAGGTGTTTTTGTTTGTAATAAGTGAAAAAATGTGCCAATGGGAGAAGTGAAAAATCGATATTAAAGATGTATTGTCTAAAAATACATCTTGGTAAGGTTCCTTGAAATAAGACCTTTTAAGACAAAACTAAATCTTGGAACTAGTTGGGAAAACTCATTGTGAGCTGTATTTCACTGGTATTAGAACGTTTTGTGTCATAATATAAACTGTGATGCTCAAAAGTATTATTTATTCACTTAACAAGATATTAAATATGAAGTCCACATAGCTCAGTGAAATGTCACTTGTTGATTGTAATACATTTAATGAGTTATTCTGACGCGTAATTAGGCAAAATGGTGAGATTTTGTGTGTGTGTGTGTGTGTGTGTGTGTGTGTGTGTGTCTTTGTCTTTGGGGGAGCTGTGTATTGAAATTGAAAACCTTGTCAAGTGTTTTTATTACATGTGTTTACCAGGACTTGGTATGTCAAACTACACACACACACACACACACACACACACACACACACACACACACACACCCACACACATTTGCAGAAAAATATCGTGTCGCAAATTTGTATTTTACGACCTGAAACTGTAACTGCTTTCACAGAAACGCTCTCAAAATCGCCACACAGCTTAACATTTTTAATAAATGTTCTTTTTGCATAATGTCACTGCCTTCTAATAATCCATATAACTATGATGCAATAAGGTGAAGTGTGCGAACAGAGCATCTTGCTTCTTTTTTTTTAAAAAAGAAAAAAGAAGATGAAATGTCAAGAAACTACTTCAAAGATGCACAATGTAATGTAAGTGACTCTGACAGGTGAACCTGCAGTCAACCAGAGAGTGAACTAAAGAAAGCGTGCAGGTCAGAGTGCAACGTGTTCCAAGACTGTAACGTGCAGATTACAATGTAAACTCTGGTTCTAAATCTGTGAATAAAACGTGCAAAACATATTTTAAAAAAAATGACAATTCGAGTCAGAGTATTAAAAAACAGAGAGATGGAAATATCGGTGTCCTATGATGTGACAGCGCACTTGTTCTCTGCTCATGAGAAACCTCCGGCCTGAAACCTTCTGTCAAACACAAGTGTCGCGCATTAGTGAATTAATCCTCGTGGACGTGGCTGCATGTTAATGCTCGGTGACCCGTCAGAGAGGCCCGGCAGCGCCGCTGTCTCCCCCCTCTCTCTCTCCCTCTCTCCCTCCCTCTCTCCCTCTCTCTCTCTCTACGGAGCTCTCAGACCTCACAGACGATTCTTCACGTTTGTTTTGTGTATTTTTTATTCTCTATTTTAGTATCATCGCTTCTACAGCCGCCTACTCGAGATATGAGGTTGAGGTTTATCAACAAGTTTCCTTCTTTATCACATCTCAATTAAAAGCCCGTTCACGAGCAGAGGCATCTCAGTTTGATTTGGCTCTGATTTTAATTTAGTTGAGTTTATTAATATTCAAAACCACAGGGAGATGAGTGTTTAACACATATTTGACGAGACATAAATTAAACATATTTAAGACTTAGTGGAATAAAGTATAGTGAGTAAGAAGTCATAACAATGAACTACAAAAGATGTCAAATACAATTGATTTGCCTCCTTGTTGGGGGGTTAAACTCCCGCTGTGTTACAGTGAAGGGACCCCTGTGCCTTTAGAGGTAAAGCAGAGGTGTCAAAATGTTTTGCAGCAACTCAGCCTGCAACTGATATTAGCTCCACTTCATCGTTTCTCTGGAGCAACTTCTGCCCCAAGCATTTTTATTTATACAAAAATAAACAACAAACAGAGAGGCAATATTCAAGAGTAATGAGAGAAAGGACTTGTTTTTAATCAAGTATTTGAAATTAAACAGCACCATTCTTGGGATATATTTTAAAATTAATTCCTGTAAGTAAGTTAATTTCTGTTCATAGTCTAAGTATTACTCAGCTTTGACCAATTTTGCGCAAAAGCGTGTTATGCTAAACATGTTCAGAGGTCATTGTTATCAATTTAAAAAACAAAAACAAAGCTGCGGACACTCCGTCAACTGATGCCTGCTGATGCCTGCAGAGTAAACAGGAGCCAAAACGACCAGTGATCACCACGATGACAAGGTTATAAAGTGATATTAGTTCTCAGAAAAACAGCCTTTTAAACTTGAAGTTACTGCAGCTGCTCGACGTTAAGATAACACCGGTGGTGAGTTGAGTAGAAAGTGTGTAAAACCAAAAGGACAGCGGTGCGTAATTCATTTATTTAACCCCAACATCTGACCATAACAGAGGGCGATCAGCTTTTAAATCAGTTGGAGCTGTCTGTCGGACTTACCTCCCCTGTTTGGTGATAATCATCTCCGTTTGGAACTTGTGGAACTTGGCCCACAGCGGGTAGTTATTGAGCAGAGCCTGGGTCTTCCCGCACACCTGTAGCCCAGGTAACGGGTAGAGAGGCGGCCGCTGGAAGCTGTGCTGAAAGCTCACCGCGTAATTCTCCGGAGACGGAGAGTACAAGTCTTTTCCCCCGGTGGGAAACCCATCTCCCGCCGTCGGGATGTAACTCTGCCCGGCTCCGCTCCTTGGCGGCGAGCGCACGCCACCGTACGGGCAACTGCCGAGGGTCTGCGCGTAAAACCTGCCGGACTGCGCTCCGTACCCTCCCACCGCCTGGTCCGAGTGGTACGGCAGAGCCAGAGCGTCCTGCCCGCTCGGAACAGAGTCCGGGTAGTAAAACCTCGCATCCTGAATCCCCATTTTAAACTCGGTTAGGTCCTTGCAGCCGCCGCGGTGGAGATGACTGCTGATGTCGGGGTTCTTTCCGAAAGTTTGCGTTTCAGTCCCATTCAACATGCTGAGGTAGAGGTTGCCACCTATGCCGCCCATTTGCAGCCCCGCTCCCGGTGTGTGCGCAATGTCATAAGGCTCCGCTTCTGCGTCCAGTTCAATAAGAGCATATACAATAAGAAATAATAATGACAATAAAAATCACAAAACAGCTGGACTGTTATCCTCACGTATGACTCACTGACATGCCACTTTAAAACTCTGCGTCTCGGTCGGTCTCAGCCTGTGATTTAAGATACAAAACCATCAGCTCACCGTCATCAGACTGTTCATCTGTAAACTTTTTTTATTACCCAGCAGCTGATTGTCTTGTCTGTTTTTTCACGCGTGGAGTCGCTAGCAGTGACTCAAACACACGCTCGCTTTACTAACCTATGATATATACATTTAGTGAGCGCTCATATGTCGGAGGTGTGTCTGAGGCAGAGGCGGGACGTGATAGGCTCCAGATATGAACGAGCCATCCCCTCATCACATAACGGAGCACAAATCACACACGCACTGCCCTTTGGAAGAAAAAAAATAAGAAGACTATAATTAGGTTTATATATTATAAGAAGGATATTATTTAGGATTAAGACATTCTGGAACAATTATGAAGGCCACATGTTTGGGAATGATCTTGCGTTTTATTTAAGGGGTAACGTGTGCACATTAATTATTAATGTTGATATTGTTTATCATAATACTTGGATGGTGAATTAGTAAAGTGACCCGCAAGGAGGTGGATTAAAACTAACCATAATTAATTAAGCGAATAATTTACTAATTATTTTTGACACATTCATTTGACTTGAATTCACCAACACAATAGAATATAGCGCTCTGGGTAACTTACGTTTAACAATGAGACGATTATTTATCTTGTAAATGTAATTAAAAGGAATAATGATTAATTATGGCTTTTAATTTTCGCTAAATAACTCCTCAAAAAACATAGTTTGACACCTTTAAAGTTAATTCGATTACTATATAGCGATTTGTTGTTTATTTTGTCGAAATGTTGATAAAATATCTTCCCCTCTGTTATGTGGCAGAGTAGTTTTCTCATGAAATCGATCAGTTTTTACTTTATCTGTTCAGACAGGTGACATGTTGCATCATCAACCCAATTTCATTTTTATTTTCCATTAGAATCATCAAAAACTGTACTTTTTAGATTCAACGTGTCATGACGTAATAAAGACTCTGGCTGTGCTGGGTCAAATTGATTTATTTTCCCTGTTAACAGTTGTTAGTATGTGGTGTCACTAAAGGCAAACTAACCCAAAATACAATACATTTCATTAATTATTATTTTATTCGGAAATACAATGTCTTCAATTAATCTTTTTTTTTTAAACTTAAAATTGTTCAGGTCATGAAAATATGAAATGTATTTACAATAACTGTTAATATTTGTACTGCTGTCTTTTATTCGTTAACTACTTTGAGTTCATGTTAGAATATAATGTTAAAGGAATTTGTGTCTTAATGTAAACAGTGTTTTTATTGAAGTGAAGCAGATTGCTTCTTTTACTGAGCTCCGAGTCACACCGTCATAACAGACCAGAAAAAGATCCAGGCAGAAACATAGCAGAATGCTCCTTTAAGGCTGGAGGTGACTCCAGCACAGGCCTGTGAACACCAGCATGTTTAAATGGGCCAATCCCATTTCTTACTTCTACCCCTATCCCTCATTTTCAACTTGGCCCCAGAACAGGGTTCCAGACCCGGATACGTCATCAGTAGCCGTCGATAGCATTTACGTAAGACGCAACGAACCACTTCATGACAGAATAGCGATGCTCTGTCGGCTAGTAACCCGTGCTTCTCCCCTGCAGGAGGAGGGGAAACTTCGCTGCTAGACTTGAGGTACATTTTGGGCACCACATGGCATCAACCGGGAAGAAAATGCGACACGGAAATATGTTGAATGAATGCACGACAACGTTGTAACGTTAGCTAGCTAGAGACATCGGAATATAGTGGTTTTATTTTTACGCTTTTTATAAGGAAAACGTCTATAATACATTGAAACGTCACAAAACTAAGATTATACAATGTTATCATCATTTTCAAACTTTTATCAAAGAAAATACTTGTCAGATTGTGCCTCTGATAAACCTAATTTTGGAGGGCGCTATAGCCCTCTGTCACAACTAGACTCTGGACACACTACCCTAACGGAGGGGTCGGGGGAGAGGGGTATCTTGGGATTGGGCCTAACTCTAAAAATTCAAAAACAGTTTCATAAAATATCGACCAAAGATGATTTTGATCTGCTCGGTGTTTGAACAAGTTACCATTTGCGGCAGCACACCTCAGAACACCGTCAGGTCAGAATTCCGTCTCAGTCATTTATGCAAAAATAAACACAAACATGGATTTCAAATCAAAGTGTCAACTGTGTCATTTGCTGTGGACGAAGCTGACAGCACTCTCTGCTCTTTAAGACCGTTTTAAGTGGCTTGTTTTCTTACCATCACCGGACAGAATCAGCCTCATAAACCCAGGTGGAAGAGAAAAACCCTGAGGTATTACCAGCTGCATGTGTGTGTGTGTGTGTGACTACATTAATAGATGAAACCCCCCTCCAGTGCAGGTATGACACAGACCCCCCCCTCGACACTCACTGCTCTAATCCCACTTCCTGTGTCTCTCCTAGCAAGGTGAGCTCATAAGGGCACACGCTGAAGTCATCAGTGTTGACACGGGTGGCGAGAGGGCAACGGTGTGAGTGACACTACGGCCGCCACGGCCAGCCAGGCGTGTCCAAACCCCCCCCTCCCCCACCCCCCCACCACCACCACCTCGGGCTGGAGTCACCACTTCCTCTCCTCTGCTCCATCTGCTTCCGGCTGCAGCCTCGGGCCCATCACCTTGTTCAGCTTTCATTTTCTCCTGAAAGTGTTATTAGCAGGTCAGGGTGCTCTCGTGAGCACAGGCGTGAGGGCGAAACACGGCAGGTATTCTGAGCAGGATAACCCTTGTTTTAATCCTGATGAAGCGCCTGATTCTGAATTCTCTGCGTGTCTGTCTGGGTGAGCAGGAGCGCTGGTATTTTTAAATTAAAACATCCCCCGTGCTTGTAGACATGAGAGGCAACTGGACACTGATGTAAAAATCTTTACGGCAGTAAAAGAATATAGTAAAAGCAAGTGCGGTGGGCTCACACACGACTTCTAAGAGTTTACAGATTTAGACGTGATAGACGGGAACATCAGCGGACAGCTCGGCATGTCTTCATTAACAGAGTCTCCGGTTAGAAATAGGATGTTTTATTTGATCTGTAATGACACTGTGGATTCTTGGCTGACATTAAAGGCCTCGGTGTGCTTCAGATGAAATACTTGTCAGACGGTCAAACAGGGTCTGTTTTTTAGATGTTGGAGTTTCTGACAACTTTTGTAACTTTCAGAAGAAAATCACACAAGAGCGTCCGAAGTGAACAAGTTCAAGTTCGACGTTTTTTTGACCGTTCCACCCCGACGTCCTCACTCTGCCTGACTTTGTCGATCTATAAAAGCCTGCATTCTCTCTAGTGTCCACCAGGGGGCAACTCCTCTGGTTGTATAGAAGTCTATGAGAAAGTGACTCTACTTCTCTCTTGATTTATTACCTCAGTAAACATTGTAAACATGAGTTTATGGTCTCAATCTCTAGTTTCAAGTCTTCTTCAATACAGCATGATGTTCATTTAGTACATTATGGTCCATTTAGAGTCACACAGACCATTGAGCATGGAATGGTTTAGGGTGGGGCTACACGGTGATTGACAGGTCTATACCACAGTGTTGTCCATCTTTTCGTTTTAGAACTTGAACCCTTTCACAGTGTGTTCATGAAAGTTAATTGTAACATTTTGGTTATTAGCTCCACCCTCTTGTGTCACTTCTGGTGAAGAAAAAAAACAACCTGGGATGGAGTCTGACAAAAAGTAGAACTCGAGGCTTCAAAACGTCAGTCAACAAACCAACAGGTGACGTCCATGTCCATGTCCATGTCCACTTCGTTTGTACAGTCTATGATAATATCACTCAACTTCCTCCTTTCAACCCAGTCGCCAGCAAACCACTGGATATGTTGAATGTCACCATTTCTGAGGCAAAAATACATGTAATGAATACGTTTCATATCAGCCTCGTGTCACGCTTGCAGAAACGCACAATGACACGTGGATAACGATGTGAAGCGAATTGGTTAGCTTTAGGCAACAATACTACTTGGTTAAGGTTAAAAGATCATGGTGTATGTTACAATTATAAGGACCGTAACAATGTTACATCACAAGCCTTGAGTAAAAATGTACTTTTGGTTGCACACTGGACATGAACAGTGACCTACTGGGTGAAAGTCCTGTCTTTGTTTGATCCCTCCCACTCACCCATAGAGGACTTTCTTGCTCGTTATACTCGCTATACTATATATATTATTATATCATTTAACTTCCAATAACTGTCGCACAATATATTGCATTGCATGATCTGACTGTATGCAAAAATGTCCACATATTCATGGTTTGCAGAAACTCCTTTGCTCTTGACGGACAGGAGTCATAATTCCGCTGAAGGACTTTGTTTAAACGTAAAACATTTCTGATGTCGATTTATTGGGAGGACTGTCTCGTATAAACACTTTCTCCTTTAAGACAATTTTGGATGAGACTTCGTACCCATGAGTTCTTGGGACACACTGAACCCTTAAGTCAGGTATAAAGTTTTGAGGTCGACTCCACTTAGTTTACAGCTGGTTCCCGCTGAATCTGCACTGGAAAGGCCCAACAGCCCCCATATGAAACCTGAGGAGTCTACATGTTGCTCTAGCTCATGACCACAATGTTCACTATGTCAAACTCATATATGCTTGTCTTGAATATGCATTTCCTACATGCTGTATTTCAGCCCCACGCGTCTGAAATATTACCTCAATAGCTTCAAAATAATAATTACCGTAGTGTTTTTGTGTGATTTTTCTGTTATCCTCCTCGCTCTTGTTAGAAGTCAACTGTGCCGTTTGGATGCATAACTCCATAGCCATAAATATCCGCCTCTTGACAC